AACATCTCATAAAATAGACTTTAAGACAAAAATCAGCGTAAGAGATAAGGAAGGGCATTAAATAATGATTAAAGGATCAATCCAAAAAGGGTATATTACCATAATAAATATACATCTAGTGAAAGAGCTCCAAAATACATAAAACAAACTTTAATAGAATTGAAAAGAGAAATAGCCCTGTAGCTGTAAAAGCAGGACGCTTCAACACATTGCATTTGATGAAGGGCCGACCTAGAGAGAAATGCAACAGAAATACAGAAGCTTAAGCAATTTGATCTCCTAGCTATACACAAGGAATTCTGGTGGCGTAGTGCCTAAGGCACTTGACTGCTAACCAGAAGGCTGGAGGTTCAAACCCACAAGCCACTCCTCAGAAGGAAGGTTGGGCAATCTACTTCCGTAGAGATACCATCTCAGAAACCCAAGGAGGGTCACTATGAGTCGGATCTGACTCGACGGGACATAACAACAACAGCTATACACAGAATGCTCCACGGAGCAGTAACACAGTACATATTCTTTTCCAGAGCACATGCATCAATCTCTGAAATAGACGTTAGGCCACAGAGAAGAATCAATAAATTCAGAAACACTGAAATAACACGAAGCATATTCCTAGATCACAATGACGTAAACTTAGAAAATAACAACAAGAAGAGCAAGAGAATAAAATCAAATGCATGGAAATTGAATAATACCTGCTTAGAAACCGCTAGGAGCTCTGCTGGTGTCGTGCCTACGGTGCTTGACTGCTAACCAGAAGGCTGGCGGTTCAAACCCACCAGCCACTGCTCACAAGGAAGATGGGGCAATCTACTTCCGTAATGATACTGCCTTGGAAACCCAAGGAGGGGTCGCTATGAGTCAGGTCTGACTTGACAGCACATAACAACAACAACTAGAAACCGCCGGGCAAAAGAAGTGGGGACGTCAGTTCCCGCTACGCGCATCTTCCAGGCCAGGCACTGCGCTCGGCACCAACAATGTTGGACTACCACCCAGGCACCGTGTCTAGGTTTTTAGTTCAGTTTTTTTTTTTAGGAGGCCGTTAGTTAAGACGTACACATGGTGTGAGATACCCAGTGCTAGGAGCTTTGACCACTGTGTACATCCAGCAACCTACCCCAGTAAAGACAGAGCAGTGGCTCTCAGCACACAACGGAATCATGCAAGGTTTGGCACAGCCCAGGTAACATCCCCCATGCCCAACTTCTAAGATGAGACATCACCATTAACCCGGAAAGTCCTCATGCCCCTCCCAGCCCCTGCCTCCCCTAGAGGCAGCCCCCGCGGTGGCTTGTATCACCAAGCAGTAGCCTCTTATCCCTGGACTTCCAAAAACCTCTTCTCTCATGGGCCACGTAGGAACGGCGTCCTCCGCGTGTCTTCTCTCGTGGGCCACGTAGGAACGGCGTCCTCCGCGTGTCTTCTCTCGTGGGCCACGCTGCTTTTGAGATCCCTCCCTTTGTTACATCCAGTGTTTTGTTGTTGTTGTTATTATGTGACGTCGAGTCAGCCCCAACTCATAGCGACCCCTCCTTGGGTTTCCGAGGCAGTATCACTACGGAAGTAGATTGCCCAACCTTCCTTCTGAGGAGTGGCTGGTGGGTTTGAACCGCCAGCCTTCTGGTTAGCAGTCAAGTGCTTTAGCCACTATGCTACCAGAGCTCCAGTGTTTTAGACTTCCTAATTAACGGGAGCAGTGTTCCTCTGTGTGGATGGACCACCATTTGTTCATCTGGCTCCTCAGGTGGACCCCTGGGGTTCGCCAGTGCAGCAGCATGACTGTCAACGTGCAAATCTGGCTGCGGCTACGCTTTTAGCCGAGGAGTGGGATTGCTGCCGAGTATGTGATCCACTTGGTCAGAAGCTGCCAGACTTGCGCAGAGGGGCGCTACTGTTTTGCCTTCCCGCCGCAGTGAGCAAGCTGACGCTGGTTCCTAATGCTCCACATCATCCGCGCTCAACATCAGCAGGTTTTTTAAATCTTCTTTATTTCATTTGAGCAAGACAAGGGCGGTACTCCTTATAGTTTTGGTTTGCATTTCCCTGATGAATAATGTGTGTCTTCTTTTGTGAAATATATTTCCAGTTCAAGTTTTCCCATTGTTGCATTCCAGTGCAGAAACAAAGGTCTTTTCAACAAAACGTGCTGGAACAAGTGGTTAAACCATGTGGAGAAAAATGACTCTTGACCTTTGCCTCAGCACGTGGACAAAAATTAACCGGAGATGCATCGGAGATCCTAACGTAACAGCCAAGCCAAAGCGTTTCCAGAAGAATCTCTTTGCCATATAAGCAAAGAAAATAGACAAAAGCACTAGCCACCAAATGAAAATTTGTTTGAACTTCATCAAAATACAAAAATGTCTCCTTATCAAAGAGACGCTGTTGAGGACATGAAAAGCACACTACGAGCCGGGAGAGAGTATCTGACGACGTGCAGTCTGACAAAAGGTTTGTATCCAGAACGTACAAAGGAGTCCTGCGACCCAGAAGTAAAAAACAAAAGCCCCATGAAAGACCAGCTGGCCTGCTTCCGACGACTGACTCTGGACATAACGGCCTGAACTTAGGGCAACTTATTTGGGACAGATGCTCAGAAGCAGGTTCCAAGAATCCAAAGCAAGAAGGGGACTGGCCCCATGCCTGTGGCTTCGGGTCTGTGCAGGAGAGAGACACCACAGGTCCTCATCTTCCAGGGCCCTGACCATCAGGCAGGGCTGGGAACTCACTTCCTCTCTCCCAGCCTCTTTCTCCCTCGGCGGCCCCCTCCCCTACACCAGGTAGGTTTGAGCCCATCACGGGCCTGGAGGGGTAGGTCTGAGGGGAGGGGTACCCTACGCTCCGCCTAGACAAAGGCCCATTTCGTTGGTAGCAGGGGCAGCTGGTGACTGGCAGCTTTGTTGACAACACTAACAGTGCAGCGTTTTGACAGAGCCCAGGATCTTTGAAAGCAGGAGAAGCCCCTGCCCTTTGTGGTGTGCGATATGTGTAGGACCAGGAACCCAGAGCTCCCTGTCTCCTGTGACTCAGATGAGCAATGCCTCCCCAACGCCAGAAGCAGATCCACCAAGTCCACATTCCTTCCTTGTAAATGATTAGCTGAACTGCCTGTCCACAGAAGAACTGGAACAAAAGGATGGCTAAGGAACCATTAGTGGAGCTTCTCTCCTTTCCCGTGCCCCTCAGCCTGAGCCCGCCTGCAGGGCCTCTCCCTGAAAACACACTGGCCTCAGCGTAAGACATCTGTTGTCACGTCCCCTTTCACCCCACCTCCCCACACTCATCTAGTCTTCTTTGTTCCTCCCTGCAAAACAAAACCACTTTTGCCTAACCCTTGAGAGTGGGCAGCAGTGGTTCACTGCGAGAAGTTCTGCCTTCCCAGGGAGAGACCCTGCCTGGGTGGAGTCTCAGCCTGTGCACCTCTTGGCCCCCACAAGCCTGTCCCCAGCACCCGTCTGCCCAGGAGGCTCGCATGCGGCTGGGATGCTGGGCAGGTTTCAGCGGCGCTTCTAGAGAAGACGAGGGAGAAAGGCCGAGTGCTCTCCCTTCAAAAACCAGCCAGTGCACAGAGCGATTCCACGAGTGTGTGTGCCTGTGCTGTAAGAAGCCCAGTACGTGGGAGAGGTGATAAGGGACAAGGTTGCAGTCCCTTCTTGGTCACAGCCAGCTACCCAGAGGGAGCGAGTAGTTGGACCTGTGGGCTCGGGACCATGGTCACAGGGGACATCCACCTCAATTGGCATAACACACCACACAAAACATTGTTCCACCTCCTACTTTGGCGAGTAGTGACTGGGGGATCTTAAAAGCTTGCAAGCAGCCATCTAGATGCAACGATGGGTCTCTCCTTGTCTAGAGCAAAGAAGAATGAAGAAAACCAAAGATTCATGGAAACAATTAGTCCTAGCAACTGGGACACCATGTAATTCTCAGCCTATACGACTATAAGACCAGAAGAACTAGATGGTGCTCAGCTACCACTGTCAAACACTTGGAGGGGGATCTATGTAGGAGACCCTGCGTACAGTGGGAGAACAATGTGGAACAAAACTCAAAATCATTAGGAAAAAAAAAAAGGGACCAAGTTTGCTGGTCTGATAACAGCCTGGTGGAACCACTGAGACTATGGCCCCTAGCTGCCCTTCAGGTCTGGAATTGAACCCACACCTGTGGCTTCCAGGCAAATAAAAGACAGGCATGTGAGCTGAATATTTACATTAGGCAGATATCCTCCCTGGAGAGAACAATCATGGAAGAAAGAAGGGCTGTGTATGCACAGGGAGACAGCTCAGGGGGCAGGGGTGCATGGAGGGAAGGACACAGGGAAGAGAGAACTATCGGGAGGCAGTGGGGTAAATTGCAGTCAATGTCATGAGACAAAGTGTATAGGAGCTGTTGTATGGAAAGTGAATTTGCTCTGTAAACATTCACCCAAATCACAATAAAAATTAAAAACAAAACAAAAACACTTCCTTCTACAAGGAAGAACTTTAAAGCAAATAATAAAAATCAGCCAATTAAAACCTCCTGGATCACCCAGCTCTGATTCCTAAGGGTTCATGGGGATGGTGCGGGACCGGCACTGGTCCTCGCATTAGTAACTGCAATAAGCCCTTGGAATAAAGTCTGTGTGAGCCCCAGGTCTTGGGCCCACCCTGCTTGGCCCAGTGGGTTCACCGCCTCACAGGCCCTACCTCGGTAGTCCCCACTGCAACCCTGTCTGCATTTTACACAGGAGTAAGGGACGTGGCGTGTCCCACCCATTCCTGACTGCGGTCCGCAGCGAGGTTGCTTGGGGACCGTGCCTCGCGGTCCCACACAGCCCGCCCGCCCCGTCGGGAGTCGAGCTGGGGGCGGGGCCGCGCGGCGGGGTACCCTGCGGCCCCGCCTCCCCCGTGCAGTTCTCCGATTGGCCGGTGCCGGAGGGGGCGGGTGCGCGGGGCATTCTGGGAGCCCGGCCCGCTCCGTTTAGCTCCGACCGCCGCCAGGTTTCGCCATGTCGGGTTCCCCGGTGAAGCGCCAGAGGATGGAGTCGGTGCTGGACCAGCTCAAGCAATTCACCACCGTGGTGGCCGACACGGGCGACTTCAACGGTGAGCTCTGCTGAGCCCTGTTCTACGGCAAGCGGGGCCCTGGACCCGGCCGTGGATCCGCCTGAAGTCGATCGGGGGCCGGGCTTCAGGGGCCTCGCGTCGGCGGGGGCGCGGAGCCGGGCGAGCACTCGGGAGGACGTTCCTGGACGCGGGGCGCCGTGCCTGCTCCCGCCGGCCTCCCTTTGGGCGCCTGCGGGGCCGGGGGCGAAGGGCGGGCCCGGGCGTGGCCGTGGTGGCCCCGGCCGCCTCGCCGCCCTCGAGTCCAGTCCAGCCTTGGCGACCCCTTAGGACCGAGTGGGGCTGCCCTAGAGGGTTCCGAGGCCGTCAGTCCTGACGGAAGCAGACGGCCTCGTCTGGCTTCCGCGGAGCGCTGGTGGGTTCGAACCGCGGACTTTTGGGTTAGCAGCCGAGTGCTGAAACCACTGCGGCACCAGAGCGGAAAAGACGCTCCTCTGTCCGGCGGGAGTCTGCGTGTCCCTAGGGTCCCGCACCGGTGCTGTCCCGTCGGACGTGGACCGGCCCGGGGTCTTGTGTGCGCCGCAGCGACCTAATGGGCCGGGAGGCTTTCCAAAGGCTGGCGATACGGCCAAGATGCGGGGGCAGACGAGGGTCGTTTCCCCGTGTTCGGTCTGCGGTGACCCAGGCCGACTGTAGCCAGTGAGAGTTTGTCGCGTTTTGTTTTTTTGGGTGGAGTACATAGGTAACCACACGTTGCCATCCTCAGCCTCGCTTGAGTAGCAGCCTCCCCGCTCGTCCTGCTCACCAGCAGCCGCTCCTAATGAATGGCTCCATCACCTCTAACCAAGCTCAGGGGCCCGTTGGCCTCCGAATTTGGGCTGCAAGTAGAAAACATGGGTTAGACCCGGACCCCGAACTGGGACTCAGGCCACTTGCTTTTGAAACCTCCTGTTGCACGCTCCGGCCCCTTGCCCAGGGGGCATCTAGGACAAGGTCCAAAATGGGTGCAAAGGAAAATAAAACCCAAATGCACTGAGGAAACCACACCCACTGCCGTGGAGTCGATTCCACTCACAGCGCCCCTAGAGGACGGAGTGGAACTGCCCACAAGGTCTCCAAGGCTGCGACTGCCTCATCTTTGTCCTGAGGCTGGGCTGGTGGTTAGCAGATGAAAAGTGTTGCCCCACCAGAGACCTTGAGCAAAGCATTGGGTTGGTCTTGTTGACAATTGGTTTTCCTGGGGTTTGAATCCTGTTTATTGTACAGAACTTGGAACGCAGAACAGTCCACCTTGACTAGGGTCGTGTGGCACTGGCTGTCCTGATCTCTGTAGGCGTGAGGGGCAGCATCACAGCCCATTAGGGTCTGCTGGGAGCAGGAGACGGGTCCCAGCTGGGAACGCCTTGAGGCAAGCCACGCCTCCTCCCTGCTGCCTGTACTTCCTCACTTTTCTGCTTTCTCATGGTGACTGGAGGAATGTCTACTTCCTCCAGCTGATGGAGTAAGAGGATTGTTTATCTGGCCTGGAATTAATATTTGGCTGCTTACATGTTAGAGGTGGAGCGGGGGTTGGCTGGGGTTCTGGACTGCACCCTAAATCCATCGGAGGCCGCCACCCCTCGTGGGGGCCTGGGGACGGACCCTCAGGGTGGTGGTGTTACCCTGGAGCGGGGGGAGAGCCCCTGTCTGTGAGCTTCCTGGGCCCAGCAGTGCTCGGGGTCAGCTGAGACTTAGTGTGACCTTCCCCATCCAGCAGTGAGGGGACGGTAACTTCCTAAGGCTGGGCCGGGAGGGCCGCCTGGGGATACTTCTGCTCTATATAGAAGCTCCTAGGTCCAAACGCTAACTTGTTTTTTAATGACTGTTAACTTTATAAAAAGCATGCATGGACAATGTACAGTGGTCAGTTTTATGCAGCTATAAATCACTCACTCGGTTTGGTGACCTGAAAGTGCTCAACCAGGTCACAGACCTCTGAAAATGTGGTCAGAGCTGGGGACTGTGTGCCCACAACCATACTTGGGTATATGCTGTTCAGTCAAGACCAACTCGAGCGACCTCATGTATGACAGACCTTTGCATGCTCCTGGTTCGACCCCAAAACAACATTCCCCTCAACAACGTCCCTTCAGCCCCCAGTTTTGCATTCAGTTATGCCTGTATGTTAATTGTGGTCAAACTACTTTCTGAACAGTTCCCTTTACTTGGGTGGAACTTTGTACGAAAAAATTGGCTTGCCTGAAGGGGTTTAGTGGCCTTTGCCGGCATACCTGGTAAGCACGGCCAGAGCCTGCTTCTTTTAGCTTCTTATTTTAAAATAGTTACACTCACAGGAAGCTGCAAAATTAGTCCACCGTGTGCTGGGGACCCTTCATCCAGCCTCTCTAGTGGTGAGGTGACATCATGTATGACCATGGGACAGTGTTGTACCAGGGAATTGACGACGGCCCCAGCTGTGAGCCAACACCTGCCTTCCTGTCTGTGGGTGTGGTTGTTTGCAGTTGTGTAAGGAGTGTGTGTTCTTGTGACCACCATGTAACTGAGATGGAGCTATTCCATGGTCAGGATGCACCCCTCGGTGCCCAGAGGCGCACCCACCCGGCTCCCTGCCCTGGCAACCACTAATCTGCCCTCCAGCACTGTCATTTTGTCATCAAAGCATGCTTTGAAGATAGTAATCTGCAGAACAGAGTTACTGAACCAGCTGATCTACCCCAAGTGGTCTGACATTCCTCACCTGTCATTGGCAGTTTGGAAAGATTAACTGCTGTTTATTGGATCCTGGATGTGTCTTTGAATTTATAGCTTGGCTATAAAGAAAGACCTCATGTGCCCATTCATCCAAAATGTCCTTATCATGGATGTGTCCTTATCATGTCCCTCCCTCCACATTGCTGCCATCTGACAGACTGGGTCAGAAAGCGTGCTCTCACACACCCCATGTCCTCCCCACCCCATGTCCACACTTCTCAGTTGTGAGTGGTCACACCGGAGCTCTGTACTCCTTTGGTCTTGGCTGTGTTGTATCATTGTGCAAACAGCTGCTTCTCTGCCAAATTTCTTGCCATTAAGTGCCGTCAAATCAGCTCCGACTCAGCGATCCCGTGCACAACAGAACGGAACACTGCCCGGTCCTGCGCCAGCCTCCCAAACCTTGCTATGCTTGCGCCCATCGTTGCAGCCACTGTGTCAGCCCATCTCGTTGAGTGCTTTCCCCTTTTTCATTGACCTTCTTCCAAGCATGATGCCCTTCTCCAGGTACTGGTCCCTTCTGACAGCATGACCAAAGTATGTGAGATGAAGTCTGGCCATTCTCGCTTCCAAGGAGCATTTTGGCTGCACTTTTTCCAGGACAGACTTGTTCGGTCTTATGCAGTCCGTGGTTGCCAAAGAGGCAAGGAGGCCACATCTTCTAACCTCTTCTAACCCTGCAGAGAGGACAGAATCACCATCAGCAGCCCAAGGCCTGTTCTTGTGAGGCCAGACATCCTGCCTCCCTCCAGCCCTTTCACCAGCCCTGACACCAACCTTTCCTCCTGCAGACCCACCAATTCTCTGCTGGGTTCGATAATTCACTGCAGTGGCCACACAGAACTCACAGATTATGGGATTTATTAGGGAAGCATGAGGCTACAATTCAAGTTCAGGAAAAACACTCAGTCTCTCTCCTAGCAGTGCATGTCTCTCGGTGTTTCTTTCTCAGCAGCACGTGTCTCTCAGGAGGGCGTTTCTCTCAGCAGCATTTCTTTCTCAGCCAGCAGTCAGAAAGATTCCTTCTGCCTCTAGGAGGGCTCCTTTGACCCTGGCTGAGTGGCCAAACTAGCCAATCATAACATCAGAATTCTAAGCACCTGAGAGTGAACTTCCCAGAACACTGCTTTGTGCCACTGTCAACAGAAATATCCCAGGTGGATAATTTTAACAATCAGGAGCTCCTCAGTTGCTCATACAAATTCCACCATGGAGCTTACAAAGACTTATGGCTAGAAAAGCCTTACTAGGTAATTTACTACATTACACTGGTACTTTCCTGTATTCTTCACCAACACAGTTCAAAGGCTAAACTCTTCTTCGGTCTTCCTTGTTCATTGTCCAGCTTTCACATGAATATGAGGCATTAAAAAAAAACACGGTTTTGGTTAGATCTTCAAAGTGACATCTTTGCTTCATCATTTTTTTTTAATGTGATTTGGGTGAAAGTTTACAGAACAAATTCATTT